ATCATAGTTTCTGATTTTTACACCAATGTACAATGCTAACTTTTAAATTGTTAACATGCCTTAAAGGTGACCTTTCTCACCTCCTTCCTACCTCTCCCCTGCCTCCTGCTCCCAAGGTAAGCTTAAACTCTAAAATAATTCATTATTTATGATAATTAACTCAGTTACTCATAGGTAGTACTCACAGAGGTAGATTTGCAATATCTAGTTAAATTTTCTGCTAATAAATTTATTCCTAGTTGTTAAGATGGAGTTAGGTAAATCACTGTTTAACTACGTTCCATGAAAGTCCCATAAAAGTCCCAGGTATTTCATGACTTAAACAAATCAGTGAACACTGCTAGAAGGAGGAAGGGAATGAAAGGAGGGAAGGAAAATGAATTGATCGGTACCTTGGCCATGTACTTCACATGTATTATCTCATATAATCGCATATAATCCTGTGGAATAGAAGTGTCTCCTTTTTAAAGACAGAAAGCGGAACTCAGAGGCATTTGATAGCTTGCTCTGCAATCCCACAGTTAGGGAGTCAGGGGGTCATGATTGCACCCAGGTCTCTGCTGCTGCTGCTTCCCAGATCTGTTGGTTCTGGATCCAGACTCTTGCCTGGAAACTCAAAAATGCCAGTTCCATCTGCTTCAAGAACTTGCCTTTAACAGAAGTTTAGGGGACTCTTGGCTTTTATGAAGACAACTAAGTATTAGTGGAGGTTGAATGAACCTGTACTTTGCAAATAAACTATATAAAAGTAGATATGAAAATATGCACATAAAATTCACCAAACTTGGATCAGGCTTTGGTCCTCACTACTGAACCAAATCTGTCTTCATCAAGGTCACCAATGACTCCATGTTGCTAAATCTAGTGGCAAATTTCAGCTATTATCTTACTATCAGCAGCATTTGATGCAGTTTTTTTCTCCCAATTTCACTAGCCACTCCTTCTTAGTTTTTAGTCCTCTCTACTGAATTCTCTTCAATCTCCTGATTCTTTTTGCAGACCCCCAAGATTCAGTCCTTGAACCTTCTTTCTCTTCTATCTATACTAATTTGAGACTATTCTGTAGTCTGATCTTAAGACCTTAAATAACCTCTTGTACACTGCTTACTCCCCCACTTTTTATCTTTAGGCCGGAGCTCTGATTGTAGCCTCATATAATCAGTTGCCTAGGAACTCTGGTAGCATAGTGCCTAAGGCACTTGACTGCTAACCAGAAGGCTGGTGGTTCAAACCC